GCTCTCTCTCTCTGTATCCCTCTCCACCTTTCTGAGAGTTTGTTTTTGTTGTGGTTGATGTAGACTTTTACAAAACACTTTAAAAATAAATTAAATAACTCAATAAAATGATTAGGTCACTGAATGACTAAGGTACAATGCATATGTGTTAGAACAAGTCTGCGTCTGGGTTGTTGCAGCCTGTAACCGAGTTTCAAATACTGCTATAAAATGTAAGGGAGGGGCATGGGGAGGGGCTGGGGGACAGATCAGGGTTTCTAATCAAAGGTGAAGGTTTTGATAGCACAGGAAGTTGTATTTTCTCGTTGTGAGGGCTGGGATGAACCACTGCTGCTTTGAATCGAGGTCCTTTAGAGCCTTAGTTAAAACACCTTGGGGGGGGGGGCTATATTCATCACAAATACGAAGCAAAAAAAGTCTACATGTTGCAGGGAAAACACTGTGAATTTCACAATAGCAACCAAGTGACTATTTTGCCATCTTTTAAACATACGTCTCAGGAGAAGAAATGAGAAATGATGGATGTGTTATTTTTCCGTCTATGCATTCTAGACCAGGTCTGTGGGGACTTTTTGTTTGCTTGTAGAAGGTTCTGAGTGATGACCAGCTAGTATTTTATAAACACTGAATACTTTAGGCAAGGATTATAGAAGCTGCTAGTAGTGAGGCCGTTAGACTGGAATATGTGAGAAAACAGAGATCAAATAGAATCTTTCCAGAGGCCTATATCTTGCAGCTTACATGTATCTTCTGTAACTTAAAGAAAAGCAGCTAAGAATGTTTTATATACAAGTAATTTAGTCAACATTGATGTTTAATTGAATCACCAATAGAGAGAGAATCAATTAATGATGAAATATTTGTCCCAACCCTGCTCTCCACCAATACTTTATGTATATATATATTTCTAGATATCACTCTCTTTGTCACTTATGATAAAGAGGAAGATATTTACGTATAAATATAGATCTCTATATTGTCACCAAACTGTGACCTGCTGTGTAGAGCTATTTTTCTCCTTTCTTCTTTTTTTTTTTTTTTTTTTTTTAATGTGATGTCTCCGTGGAAATATTTAGTGGTTCTTGTTTTGCAGTTTGTTATACAAAGTCATTGCTTTAAACTTTCATTGCATCTTGGCTGATTTCAAAGTGATGCCTAGGTATCAGTGTTAAAAGTTTTGTTTGTGAATCATGTGACCAGCTTCTCTTGACATGACATGGAAAGTCTCTTGTATTACAGTGTATTTAATAAAAATGGTGTCTCACAATAAACAACGTCATCCAAAAGAAAGATAAAATGATTACTTTAAAAAAGCTAAAAGTTTCATTAAGTGTTGTGTGCTGTTTTCTTTTGTTTGAATGCCTTTGTTTCCTTCCATTCTTTTTTGAAAAGGATGACATTAAGGAACAGTGTGGTATGCTTACAAACATGACATATTTGCACTCTAAAACTCAGAATGAAAAACAGGTCACTGAACTTGTAGGTAATGAAAGAGGAGACCCATTGTAATAGGGCAAAGGACTATCCAATCTGA